ATCAAATCGTAACCAATATGTTAAATATGGACATTATATCTCGCAGCCTTATCCAACAATTTCTGGTACTAGCCAGGGTTCAAACCTGGGACCGTTGCTATTTTTAATAATGATTACCGACCATCCAAGCGTTATCAAATATTCCAAAATACTATTATTTGCTGACGACGTTAAGGTCTTTAAAATAGTTGAGACTGACAATGATCGTCTGTGTATGCAACTTGATTTGGATGAACTGCTGCATTGGAGTGAATTAAATAAACTCCAATTCAACTATGACAAATGTGAAGTGATGACCTTTAGTGCCTCTCCGAATAAAATACTCTGCGACTATGGCATAGGATCGAAAGTTATTAGGCGCGTAGACAGAGTCCGCGACTTGGGTGTCCTGTTTGTACCCGATCTTTCATTTGCGGAGCATATTCGGACGATTACGGATGCTGCTTTTAGGAGATTAGGGTTTGTACTGCGAAATTCGGCTGGTCTGACGGACACTGCCACTAGGGTGCTATATTCATCATTAGTAAGGCCAATTCTCGAAACCAGCTGCGTCATATGGTCCCCATATGAAAGGTATTATGGGGATATGATTGAACGAGTTCAAAAGAAGTTCCTGAGAAATCTGTATAAAAGAAGATACAATTTCTTTCTACCCTACTAAGTTCTTGATGGGGGTGTTAGGGTATAATTCATTAGAGCTTCGTAGGGATTTTTCGGTGGTCAGGTTTGGTTTGAGTGTAATTAAGAATGAAACGGAAAGCGCATACTTGCTGGGAGAGATCATGAGGCTATACGTCCCGGACAAATATTGCCGCTGCCGGAAACATAACCTTTTCGCTGTGCGTTCGGCTCGCACTGTCCAGCGACAACAAGCGCCCATTCCCCGGCTACTCTCACTGCTTAATGGGTTTCTCGACTCTTCACCGGAGAGCGACCTGTTTGGGAAGCTTATGGGGGTGGTATACTGGGCTTTCAGAGTGTACCTGGAGGGGATAAGAGGGTAATGCTACCCTGTATTGTAAATCTTAATTGTATTTTATTGTATTGTTTATTGTTTTTAGTCTAAGTTTGGCCATTGTGCTGTTATTAAATAAATAAATAAATAAATATATCGTGTTACATGTATACTATTTATAAGAGATACATATCCAATTGTTAAAGCAGAATTATCGGATAACTATACGATTTATATTTTTAGTGTTAAATCTATAATGTGTATTTCATTGCTCAAGTTAAGACGTGGTGGTTTCTTAAAAGTATATGAATAATTTTATTAATAACAAAAAACTAGGGTTACCTGAAAGAGATCGCTTGTCAGCGAGGCTGCCCGTTGACTTATTTAATTTGTTTAATCTGATTGTAAATGTACTATTAACGCAACATAGTATTAAAAAAGTGCGTGGGTACGAAGCACACAAGTCAGAAGTGAAACTTCTTTGGCAAACTAATTTTTAAGTCTTGTTCATATTTATACAAATCGAAACTTTAGATTTTCGAGCCATAGAGGGAGTGAAAAAGGAAGATAAGTTAGGAATTTAATTGTCATTAAAATATTAAAAGTGTCGAAAAGTAATACAAATAATAAATTTAATTGATTCCTTCGATAATAAAAACACGTGGCATTTTAATTTATAATTCGTCATTTGAGATTTCAATAAATTATTTTTATATATATAAAATACTAATATTTCATAAATTCTCTTTACGAAATTTTAATTTTAAAAATAGAATTTTCCAAAAAAATAGAATTCCAATTTTACCCTCATGCGCTCGTCCTCCGATCGACACTTCCTCACCAGCTTTGCTGAATGGCATGAGATACTTGAGTGGCAAGCTTTTGTGATATTTGGTCGGTCAATTGGGATGCGCAACCATCTCTTATCATTTCATGAGTTTTCTCTCTCTGGAGATAAAGTCTTAAAATCCCTTTCTTGCTGTTAGATAATTTCTTTATAATTAAGATTGGTGTTGATGTGATGAGCTGTCAGGGAATACGTAGTATATGTCGCCAGCACTACATTTGGAAAGCAGATTCACGGTCCATAATTTGGCACCATAGAGTATAGGAATTATATTCTTATTTAGTATTGTCTTTGATTAACATAACCTTTACACATTTAAAGAAAAAACTTTTTAACCGTTTTTTAAATAATTGTAAATTTATACATAACTTTAATCCGGTTAAAAAGTTTTTTCTTTAAATATTCTTATTTGTTACATATATACTTCTGTATTAAAATAATTGGTTTAATTAATAACTTAAATAGATATATCTAAATATTATAATTTAACTGTAATTATATAAATGTCAATTCTAGGAATCTCGCTTGATCTCGCGAAACGATTACAAAAAAGCAAGAATTTTATTTCGTAAAATTAATATCCAACAATTTTAGCCGTAAATATTATAAATTCTTTTTAGATTTGATGTGGTTTCTTTTAAGCGATACTTTCATATATTAAAATATCTTTGTTCGCCAGTCCTTTGATCCTTTCTTCACGGGCTAAATTATGGACCAAAAGGTTCTAATAATATCACTTTAAAACTCAAACTAACAATATTTCTACAGCGTTTATGACATAGTAGGTCGTTCGTTCTAGTCTCAAGTGTACGAATACAGTTTTCTTTCTATGTGCAATTAACACTCGCTGGAAGGATGAAGGAAAACATTGTAAGAAAACGGAAAGCCTTAGACCAAAAAATACCAAGATTAAGACAAAATACCAAGAGATAGATATTGAAACCAAAGATTGTAGTACAGTAAGGAAAGCCTATATAGGCTTTCCTTATAAAAAATCAGTGGCGCTACAACCTCTTTAGATCTGGGGACTGGGCCTCAGATTTCTGAATCTGTTTCATGATCATTTTTAAATCTAATAGGCAAGTAGGTGATCAGCCTCCAGTGCCTGACACACGCCGTCGACTTTTTGGGTCTAAGATATGTCGGTTTCCTCACGATGTTTTCCTTCACCATTCGAGATAATGTTAAATGCGCACATCGAAAGAAATTCCATTGGTGCACAGCCGGGGATCGAACTTACGACCTCAGGCATGAGAGTCGCACGCTGAAACCACTAGGCCAACACTGCTCGGGCTTTCCTTACGATATTCACAAATTCCGGATTTTTTTATTGTATCTACATCGTAGTAAAGACAATTAACTCTTAACATAGTGTGGTGTAGCCAGCTCAATAAATACTATGTATGTAATAATACATTTTATTTATTTAAATAACCTCTGGTGTGACACCTATAAAATACCGATACATCAACTAAAACAATGAAAAGTATAATGCATCTTCAAATCGAAAGGAATGATATTATATCTAGATATTGCGGTCATTAGATTTTTTTTCTGTGCGATTTCATTCTTAAAGCCACTGACTGATCGGTCATTCTCTCTATTCGGTCTTATAACGTAATGTGAGCCATTAAATTATTGTTGCAGGACTATAGACTTTTAACAAGCCCAAGGAGCAGCATACGTAGTAACTATTAGGATATCACGTAGTTGGCATTGTCTCAAAGTTATCGCTTACCACACGAGGACGCATATTTAACTAGTGGGGCATGAATTCAAAATTCAAAATTCAAAAATCATTTATTCACGTAGGTAACATAATGTACACTTGTGATTCGTATTAAAGAAATACAAATTAATGCTTCTAATTTTACATTTACTCCAGTTCACAAATAAGGGGTAGAACAGAAGAGAAAACTGGCAATAAACTCTCCGCCACTCTTTTTAATCGCCATGTTTTTTTACACAAGTTTGTAAGGAGCTCAAATTAATTCAAAATCTTAAGTAATTATTATATAATAAATTAAAAACAAGGACTTGTCCTCATAAAGGATGGTGAAATAGGAACCACTTATTCTCTGGAAAACCAAAACATAGTCGAAATAATTAACATCGATAAGAATTCAGTAGACCGTTCCAGTATAATGCCAGCCATCGGCCCCCTCGCCATATTTTAGGGAGAAAGACAACCCGACGCATGGACGAATAAAAATGTAATTAAGTAAAATTGACTTCATTCGTATTACCTTAGTTATGCTGTAACATATTTTGGTGATGTGAACCCAATATTCTGCCACCAGAAGCATTCCGCATAGAGCGTATCGTATCGAGAGTATACTCGATAGATTTTGCCAATGTTTGGGCAAGCATGTACAGATTTTTCATATAATCGTTCCGTTTAGTTTTAATTACAAAATTCAATTAACCTCATATATATTTTCCGTCTCGTTCCGTCGTACTGATTTTTTTTACGTTAAGATTATTTACATGACACAATAACAGACATACGTTCTGCGTATTTTTTCGTCTTCAGAAAGTTTGAAACAGACCGGGTATTGCCTTATCTTTATGCTTCCGTCTTATTGACTTGCAGATTCAAATATCGCTATAAATGTAAATTATACGTACTTATGTAAAGCATTTAATAGAGATTATGTAGGAAATACTTTTAAATAATCTCATCGGGACGTTAAAATAATTTCAATTGAACTGCGATATACGTATTAAACGATGTAGTGCTTTAAATAATATATTCGTATAAGCAAAAGTTTCAATGTGAAATAAATAGAATAATATTATATTTGATAACCATGTATCTAAGATAAGTAGTCTGTGCGAAAAGGAACTGGCGTAGTGGTTATGCGAACTAAAATAATTATTTACGCCCTCAATTAATTGATTGATAAAAATAAAATGCTTGATTTCATATAACTAGGAAAATGATTATTGTCTAACTATAGTGACATAACAGTGTTGTTAACATAAGAAAAAAAATTTCACTGCTGCGACCCCTCAATCCCCCGACGGTTCTTTTTCTGCACAGATTAATAGGTATTAAAATGTTGCCCTTTACAATAATTGAAAAATACAAACACTGATTACTTTAAATAAAGTTATGTTTAAAAAAAATCTTTTGTTTTCAGATGGAGAAGCTAATTTATCCAGTGGAGAGCTCGAAGTGAATAAATAAATATTAATATGAATTTGAATATCGATCAGAATGTTCACGGCCTAGAGACCGCCAATCATACAAAGAATGGGAACGATTTTGGAGCACTTAAAAATTTAACAGCCAACGAAAGCGAATTTAATCTACAAAATGAAGAATTTATATTTGACAGAACAGATGTTAGAGCTATATTTATCACATTGTATACGCTCGTTTTTTGTTGCTGTTTCTTTGGTAAGTCATTAACGAAAAATGTACGTAACGTAACATTGATGATGAATGTTTATATATATAACTTGGAAACATTTTTAAGTTATGATAGTATTATTCTATTCGGCTCTAGATTAAATTCTACACGAGAGTCTGAATATTGGCAGAGTAATGAACAGATTTTAATGATACTGTGTATATGTGACTACTTTGAATATTATGCAATCTTAATCAAATTTTAGTATTGTAACATAAATAAATCAGTGGCGCTACAACTTTTTCAGAAGGGCCTCAGATTTCTGTATCTGTTTCATGATCATTTGTGAATCTAATAGGCAAGTGATCAGCCTCCTGTGCCTGACACACGGAATTTGGTTCTAAGGAATGACGGTTTCCTCACGATATTTTCCTTGACCGTTCAAGCGAATGTTAGAGACGGAAGAAAAAAGTCCATCAGTGCACAGCCGGGGATCGAACCTACGACCTTAGGGATGGGAGTGTCATGCAAAAGCTACTAGGGCAACACTGCTCTAACACAAATAACTTGCAAAATAACCTTTTGTCATTATATTTTACTTTCAAGATTAATCTAAGATGACACCCTGCCAGCTTTAAAGGTCCAAGCCACAGGGACCAAACTTTTTAAATTTGTTTTAATTTTCTATTTATTAATTATTATTATTACAAAATAAATAATTATTTAAACTACATAAGTTTAAGTTACTTATAAAACTGCTCAAAGATGAATAGAACAAAACATTCGATAGCTTTAGTAGGTTTATAAATAATACTGATGAAGATTATATTATACATTATCATAGTATGGCCTCTCGCCAAAAACTCAATATTAGCAGTTCTGTTAATTACATACATTACAGTAAAACGTGGAACCATTTCAAATAAAATTAAAATTTCCATATGCAAAGACAAAGTTTATGCTTCGAAACTAGGCGAGATTAATTAAATACTTCATATTTCATCATACAGCGTCTTCGGGTTTCTTATGCTAAAATTTCTTGTTTTATGAAACCATTAGCATTTAAAATAGCATTGTCCTATGACGTAATGGTACCTATTATGGTTCTTAACTATAGGTATCCGGCGTAGACGCCTTCAATACCCTTAAATATATAAAAACTATTTAGAAGATTTAGAACGACTGGAGCAGGACGTTTGTCTGCCCCATAAATGTGTCACCTACTTAAAATATCTTATTTCAACCTTAATAATAATAAAGCCTTTTTTAGTTTCATTTTTTTTATAGAACAGGGGGCAAACGGGCAGGAGGCTCGCCTGATGTTAAGTGATATCCAAAATGTCCGCCGCCCATCGACACTTAGGGTGAGATCTATAGTGCGCACTTGGACTTTGCTCAGACTTACCCTACGAAAAACTTTGCTTAGTGTACACTAAGGTTAAACTATGATTTCGTATTTATAGACATTTTAACGGTGAGATTAAGCTAAGCCCAAGCTAAGACAGAAAATGTCAAAATACAAATTGATGTTTCATTTCATGCAATACTTTGTTTATTATCCTTAAAAAAGTATAAAATATTTAAAAATCTAAAACGGTACACATATATCTTCAATTTATTGTTATTTATGTATTCATTTATTTTATTATTGCAATAACTAGAAATTCAGAGTATTTAGAAAATGTATTAATTATTTAAAGATGAAATAATTTTATTATAGAAGGATCGAATGTTTTGACAACAGCAACAGAGCATTGTATCAACTATCAAAATTGAAAATTTTGAACACTTTAATTTATTAAATTGATTTTCTTAAAACAACACTGGCTTTGTGCTTGGACCGAGCCCACCTGATGTATACCTACTTAAGACCTACGCATTCCCAAAGCACGTGACGTTTTGTGATTTGGCTTTGTTACATGGACCGCTTGGAAATATCAATATCGAAAGTGACATGATGGAGAGAGAGAGTTCTATCTTCAATAGAAAACATTGAAAGGGTAGGAACTGCAGCTGAAGAATCCACGAATGCCTAAAGTGTTGTATATGTTCGGAACTAATAAAACCAAAATCCTTCATCCTGTACGGTGAGAATGAATTCAAAAGAAGGAACGTATTTTGAAACACACGGTATTAAATGTGATCCTGAGCTGATCATTACAAACTTGCAACTTATAACAACAGAGGATCGCCAAACCCTACCGCAATTGCAAATACTTATTGCATTAAGGCATAAAAATGCAACTGGATGTTTCCAGGTAAATTAAGTTTCATTTCAAATGTTGTTAGTAAATGTTATTGCTACTATGCTTACAGTCAGTGAATATGGACCCCTCTTGGGCGAAGGAAGTCCAACCATTTCCAGTCTCTGTCTTTGTATCAAGTCTTTATATCAAGTCATCAGCGTACCTTCTTTTTGGCCTGTCCACTCTTCTATTTCAACCTTACTATAATAATTTAAGATTCACAATGAAACATATAATGCATCGCTTTGGCAATAGCACAATAACACATAAAAACTCCTACAAAACCCATGTTGATTCCACCTAAATTTATTTTCGATTCTTTTTAGTTAATACATATTTCTAATACAATTAATTTGTGGAGAAATTTATTTTAACAGATTTTTAATTTCATTTTCTTCTCAAATTTTTATATCATGTAATGAAATGTAATATATGACAGATGGACTAAAAATATTATAGACAATAAATACAATATTCCTACATGTTTTGTTATTAGGCCAGATATATGATTCCCAAGTCTATGGAACCCGAATGCATCTAAAAAAAATAAAACTAGAACCAAGAATGATGTCTTTTTTTTTTGTTTTGTTTGCGAACACTAGGGAAACAGTTTGCTCAATACCGACTGTGTGTATAGTTAAGTAGAGCGTCTAGTGCGTATAGATCTCACCCTTAATGAGAGGGCTCGAGTGAAGTTATTACGCTGATAAGGCTGAAATCAATTTACATAGACCTTAATTGGGATAAGTCTTTGTACTGTTTTTTTGACGTTTATATAATATTAAGAGTAAATATATATATATAATAATAAATTTATTTATTGCCAAAAACAGTTATAAAGACGAAAGATTGGTATTTTTTTATTATAAGAAATAAACTTAAAAACTACTGGACTGATTCCTTGAGTAACATTTATATTTTTTGCCGAAATATTAAAATAAATATCAACACGTGCCGTGAAGACACAAATTTAATTAAATGTTTACATCCGTCAATTGCAAATCGAAGTCATAACTTAATTTTTTTGGGCCGAACTGGGAATCAAACTCATGATATGTACGTACTACTGGACAGGCGATTACATATAACCCAACCGGAATAACGGAGTGAAAATATTGAAGATGAATAACAAAACATTACCCTATATTAAACAATAAACTTTTCCTATGGAGTAAAGTATGATTAAATATCTAATATTATAATAATTCGCTCGGAAAACACGTTTGTTTTTACACCGTTAGAACTTTACCGTACGCACAAAAGCAATAACAATATTGCTTTGCACGAATACCCGGGATTTTATCTTAGAATAATCAGTTTCTTGTTATTATTTTTTTAAGGTATTATTTAGAATCTCTTTTATGTAAAGGGATAATTAAATTATAATAAGAATAATTTAATAACTATTGATTATAATATTATTAGTACGTGTTCGTGTATTTCATTTATTCATAGGTTTAAGCTCGAATGACCGATTCGAGTGTAATTATATAGGGTTGGAAGGCACATCTCATCAGCTACTTGACTATAAAGAGATCACTGAAGCGTGCACAAATATGTCTACCCTATGTCTCTTGTATTCACACATAACGCTTCAGTTTCAAGACTGGAGATTTGTACGGAAAATATTTGGATAGAGATATATATATCCTTACAAAGAACTCTAATGACGTCATTAACGACGAATTTCATTTCGATTTAGTCATCACAATTTTCGAGTTGTGTACACACCTTGTGTAGGCTAGGCTAAACGTGCGGTAGTATTTATACATTTTTTTAAATGTAATAGGAGCAAACGGGCAGAAGGCTCGTCTGATGTTAAGTGATACCGCCGCCTATGGACACTCACATTACCAGAAGGCTCGCAAGTGCGTTGCCGGCCTTTCAAGAATTGGTATGTACTATAGTCGAATTGGTTTGGAAATACTTTAGTGGGAAGCTGGTTTAACATAGCGGTGGTGCACGGCAAAAAAATTCTTAAAAACGCTCAGTTGTGGAACGGCAGACGTCGAGGTGATACTGTGATATTAACATACAAATATGTCAGAGTTTAATATAATATAGGGTTCGAGTGCACAGTTGTTAATTAAAGATTTAAGTTGGCGCTTGGTAGATAGTACCGGTGACCCCAGAACTGGTGCTTTCTTCACTCAACGAATAAGTATCGAAATACAAGATAAGGTACACTGCCACAGACACCAAACTTTTTAAATTTGTTTTAGATTTTTATTTATTTGTTTTTAATTAGTATTTTTACTATGTAGGTAAATTATATTGCAAATACTCTATATTTGTGTGTTATTAACTATATTTACTGTTATAGCAAGTGTTAGTTTAAAAAAAAATATATATTTTTCCTGTGTTTTGGTATCCTGGAATATTTAATTTATTTAATCTAAAGGAATTTAGCGGTTTCCACATAGACACAGGCTTACGGTGCCGTTTAGGCTTTGTTAAATTGATATCTATGTAGGAAAGATTTTTGCATTAAAAGCCGCCAATTTAATTGATTTGGATAAAATAAATAAAACATGTTAAAAAAGTCGTAGACTACAAATTTAGTTGTTAATCTAACTGATATTCACGCGGACGAAATGCCTCTCCAGCTCGCAAGTAATATTATTTTTATACATGTTTTGTACTGATTCGGGATTAATTTTAATTCATCTGTACTTTTTGTTAGAAATGTTTTATGTATTTTGCGCCCGTATCCCACGCTCGATGTAATCTAGACCAATATTTGTTTGTTGCGAATCTTTCTAAGTGATTAAATTATTTATTTATTTATTTTCGTTGTTAAAATCTATGGTTTCTTTCAATTAGTTAAATTGTGATTAATCCCCAACCTTAAGATTGGGAAGATCCTCTGATGGTTTAGTTTGTAATGCGTTATGGTGGCTCAAATTGCTGTGTTAGGAGGTAATGATAATAGTTTAGGGGTACTACAATCTTATATGGGTCTTATATATGAGCAAATAGGGAATGGGCTTATAAAAAGAAAAATCCAAGTGCACAGCTGTTATTTGAACGCACATCCTAAGGGTTAAGAGCCACACTAGCCACTACTCCAACAGTGCCCTACTGTATTGAGTTGGAAGACTTAGAGGACTAAGATAATCTTACCGATAACCAAAACTAATTGCCGAAACGTTGGTAAAAACTAGGGATGCATCCGATACCGATACATCGGCGATACTTTGGGTTTGACGATATATCGGCCTCAGCGATATTTTATTTGCCGATACAACGATAATTTTCGCGCTTTAAAAATTGTAAACCAGGCACCGACTATCTATCCCCAGGGAATCCCCGCGTTTTATTCAGTTTGTTGTCTCTCTCACCCGCTTAGTCCCCGCGTATTTCATTTCGCTAGACTCTTTAGATGGCTTTTAACTGCTATCGCGCGTAGTATTTTTTCGATACCAAATAAAATATAGAATTACAAAAATATCATCAATGTTAATTTTAATTACTAACAGTTATTTATTTAATATAACTCATCGTTTTTAATATTAATAACTAAACCTTTAATCTTATTCAAAGTTTCTGACTGTTTATATTTTTTAATCAAAATTAAAAACTTTAACCAAACTTGATATATTTTGCCTTAATTTAATTTTAATTCAAAAAGCGTTGGTATCGGTATCGGTATTGACGATATTTCTTTAAGAGTATCGGCATCGGTATCGTATCGGCAAAAAGGCGTATCGATGCATCCCTAGTAAAAATCCCAAGTATTTGAAGAAATAGTTGGTCCTATGGTTGGAGATGGTTATGATTCTGCGACCTAATATGTAGTTACACATTTCACTCACACACTCACTCATCCCTAAGGTCGTGAATCCGAATCACGGCTGTGCATTTTACAGTGTACCAGTTAGCACTTTCTCCTAGTGCCCTTGCACTCGGTGAAGTTTCCTTCACCGTAGGAGCATGGGCGTGTCTCAAACACATTTATATATATTTTTTGTTTCAGGTAACCTTCTCGTTATACTCGTCGTGACGCTATCTAGAAGACTAAGGTCCATCACTAATTTCTTCTTAGCAAATTTAGCGGTAGCAGATCTATGTGTGGGTGTGTTTTGTGTCTTCCAAAATTTGACGATATACTTAATACCTAGGTAAGTGATAAAATTTTGCACATATTTTTTATGCGACTTGCAACGCCGAGAGATTTTTTAAACTTTTATTTGAATTAACTAGCCTAGGAACTGATTATACGTTGGAGGATTGTCCGCAGTGGTCTCAGCTACGTTATAATCTTTGTTCTGTGGTGGGTAATAACCTTTTTTTGCCTGGTGTTGTACAAAAAATGGTCGGCAGTGACGAGGTATGGAATGCAGTGGTATCCTTCTGTGAACATGTTATGCTACAGAAGGAGACAGCAGAACGAAAGAGGGAGCGCTTTAGGACGAATCCTTTAGGGGAGTAAATAGGAGGAGATATGCCCATCTTTTACCTCCTATGTAGTGTATACTGCACCGGAGGTTTTTCAGTGTAACATGCCGTTGAGGTCCCGGTAGAATGCGACAGCCGACATGCGACCCGGAGCCTTTGTAACGTGGCTTTGTAGGAACTACTCGAGGCGGTTTTAGTGGGTATTGCTCACCCAGTCTCTGAATAGCAGAGATTTTGGTGTGGGTCGAGTCCCAAATACCCCTGCAACTTTTAAGGGCAGGGGATGCGCTAATGCATTTCCACCTCAGATGTAAAAAAAAGGCCTAGGAACTGACAGCATGCACAAACCAAATACAGTTGTAAGTGTCTAGTCAACTAGTTAAGATCATTTTGGGCATACAAAAATAATTGCTCTCCTCGCTCTCAAATAAACAATAATAAAAGTACCCGTGGCTAAGAATACCAAGATCATGAAATTTGTGAAAATTTGTAGCGCATGCCTTGGCTAACGGAATGCTTTCATTGTAGATATCGTATATGTATTGCAATTCAAGTTAATTGGAAAGATGGATCGTATCGTAACTTTGCTAAATACTGTTAATCAATCACAATTAATTATCTGTCTACTCGTTATGACTTAGTTCCTTGTACAGCTGAATCAAGAAGTTTGCATTTTTTTATCCCCGATATTCGTTTGGTCCCGTAATGCGTGAATGTTACCGGGGACTTATTAGCAGTTAGTGGTTTCTTCGTTAGGCCTATTAGTTGGGAGAGAACATCATCCAGAAACGTCAAGAAATTGTTGGACTATGTCAGGCGTCGAAGGTCTACCAACACATATAAAGACAAAAATATCAAAGAAACAGAACAGAAATCTGCGATGACAAAACAATATATTCTTTATAAAATTATTCAATGTATGCCTTTTTTCATTTATCTTACATAAAGACAGGAAAATTCGAAGGTACAATTAAATTACTGTTATAAAGAAGCTCGCGTCTTCAGAAAAATACCGTGGCTCATAAACAAGACACGTGGTTGTTCTTATAGTTTTTATTCATTCAATAATGTTATTTTGGTTGAGTTTGTTTATTTTACTGGATTTTTTCCGTTCACAGATCGTTGTATGCCTTGGTTATATTTATACCGGTTATTGTAAGATTTTTAGGTTAAATGTAACGGGTTGAAAAGATACAAAACAATGATATGAAAAAAGATCGGCGCTACATACTTGTAGGTCGAAGTAGGTGATCAGTCCTCTGTGCCTGACACGCACTGTTAACTGGGTCTAAGGTGAGCCGCACCTCATTAAGATTTCCTTGAAAAACTGTTAAATAAAAAAAAGACAGAACATCTTTTGGTGCACAGCTGGGGACCGAACCTACGAGCGATCTGAGTCGCTGTATTCTGAAGTATCAATGATCGAGTTCGTAGACGAACACAGGACCCTGCTAAGAACAGAATTTAAAAACAATAAAACAGAATGACTAGACGTGAGGAAAAATGTTAACAATTTTAAAAATCAAATTTCAGCCTTTTGCTTAGTTTCCGTGTGACTGGACGGACAACTGTAACGTTTAAAATCTCTATTTTATAGGCCACTGGTTCATACTACAATGAAATATTTATGAAAAGTATATTTTTTATAATAGCATCCTGTCCCTGCTGGAAATCCATCGTTTTAAATATTTTATATTGTGAAACATAATAGTGACATTTCCGTTCAGTTCAGTTCAGCCATTTAAAAACGGTCCAGCAGTTTTTAGGTGATGTTAGTTGTTTCGACTATGTGTTTGCGTGTTGTTCCCACGAGAAGGTTAGTGCGTGATCCTATTTCACCATGCCTCCTGCTGATAGAAGACAAATCTTTGTTTTTAATTTATTTTATTATTATTTATTACCTAAGACGTCATGTTGAATATGGCGTAATGGTTGCAGCTCCTTACAAACGTTGCGTAAAACAAAAAACTTGGCGATTAAAAAGAGTGGCGGAGAGTTTATTGCCTGTTCTTCTCTTCCGTTCTGGCAGTAGGTAAATGTAAAATTAGAAACATTTAATGTATATTACTTTTTTGACGTTCATAAGTGTAGGATTGTGTTACCTACATGAATAAATGATTTTTGACTTTGACTTTTGAGTTTATTATAACATACAGAATTACAAGGATTTCTTTTTGTAATATAAGTAGTTAGTTACCTAAAGACAATCCATACGTTCCTAATAATTCAAACAGATGAAACTATAGAAAGAAGATAGTAATTGAACGAATGTCCTTAATTTTCGTCTTTTACATTGTATTATTCACTTGGATAGGTGATAATATTTCGTATTTTTTTGTTTGAATCTTGGTAATTCTGGACTCTAAAACTAGTTAATGTAATAAAGTAATATTATGCTTTATAATTTGCCTTACATTCAGTATTCTTCTTCCCAGGTTTTATTTGTATTTGCTTGGTTTTATTAAAGACTTGGAGCTGACCGAGTCTAACAATGGCCGTCTGTTTTTGTTTGAGTGTCAAGCAATGCAAAAGTTATTTGAAAGCGTATTTTTTAATTTAAAGAAAAATTTCATTGTGATCTTAGATATAGAAATACATCAACAATATTTTCTGAGATACAATTCTTATCCGTTTTATTCAAACAGCTTGGTTTGGTCGGTTCAAGCTTTATAGGTATAACTCGAAACGTGAGCTTAACTAAATGTTTGTCTTAATTGATTTATTGAATTTGAATATATTATATATTAAATAATGATACTCAGAAAACTCTATTTTGGCGTTGGCGATTTGAACAAAGACTGTTCAAATCGTAGCATCGTATTATTATAATTAGTTTACCCAAGTCACTTTCCAACTTGGTGTCAGAAAACTATTGTATATAATATACAGGGCGTCCCAAAACTATGGTACATCAAGGGAAAGTACCTAAAATATCGTAGATAGGATATTTTTCTGAAAGAACAGTTTATTTTATTTTGAAAAGTACATATTACTGCATTGAATGATGTTCTAAATATTTCTTGTCTCGTCTGGGAATCGAACCAACTCAAATGTGAAAAAAACATACCTTATTTTTTTGATGCAAATCAAGAGAATTGACAAAAAATAATTTAATTCTTCTTAAGTAACATAGTTTTTTAAAGAAAGGATCAATTTTCTTCGAAAATAAGCACATAATTCGCATTATGCAGATCTTGGTGTAAACAGTATTTTCGTAAACATACGCACGCGGTGTTATTTATCCCTGACATAAAATGACCATCGACCGGTGGAACAAGCCATCTGGAGCAAGATTTATAGTCACGTTTCAAACCAATTTCCCGATTCTATAACTCAAGTAGCTATGGATATAATTAGTGGGAGGTGTTTGTCCTCTGCATATCATAGAATAAGTGATTGATGATGTATCGCTGTAAACATAGTGATAATTTGTGCGATTCTTGAACAATTCTTCCTCCCGAAATAAACAAGAATATATTCGTCTGATTGATTAATTGGATAATGTCTTCTACCATCGCATAAAAGTCAAAAGTCAAAAATCATTTATTCATATAGGTTTCACAATGTACACTTATGAACGTCAAAAAAGGAATATACATTAAATGCTTCTTATTTTACATTTACTACCAGTTCTTAAATCAAGGGCGTAGAACGGAAGAGAAGAACTGCCAATAAACTCTACGTCACTCTTTTTAATCACCAAGTTTATTGTTTTACACAACGTTTGTACACAACATCAAGCAAGTGTCATGCTTAAACCACAAGTTCAACACCGTTAATGGATAAATTATGTTTTTTATATCCCTATAGCTAAATTGTAACTGGTCCAACTTTGGTTATAAAACGAATTAGGTTTCGCATCTGTTAATTCCCAAAATGTATCCCTTTTGAATTAGTATGCAGATAAACAAATTTTGTCTACAAACTTTCCAAACTAGGGTACTCGAAAATTAACTATATATAAATGTATTCACAACGTAGACATGAGAACAAGAACAAAACTCATAGACATTCTTACGCGGATAGACGTCCAAAAATTGAGATGGGCTGGACATTTGCTACGCCACCCTATTAACAAATGGAGCAAGCAAGTCACTCTCTGGCAACCAAGAGATGGCAAAAGAGGTAGGGGTCGTCAAGTCAGGAGATGGGAAGATGACTTGAAACTGGCAGCGGGACCATTCTGGTTGAGAGTAGCAAGGGACAGGATCCACTGGAAGGAATTGGAGGAGGCCTATGCCAAAAGGCACACCGAACTTAGGGATCTCTTGTAACCCTACGTTTAGGAATAAAAGGCTATTATTAATTAATTAATAAAAAAAAATATATTCACAAACCTATTTTATTGCCCCCGAACCCAGCACGTATTAATTAAAAAAACAATTTAAAAATATACTACATGCTTAATATATTGCATTTATAAGGGTCAGCGGAAGTTATTGTTATACACGTTCAGTAATTATTATGAATAATATAATATTAATCGAATAAATGGGACATAAAGACGTGACTACGAAACTTCAACCCTTTTCCCGAACCTTTCATTAATAAAAGGCTGTCCAAATCTGATGTAAGCCTCAATAGATTCCATTTGAGCATGACCTTCAAGGAAATATCATAATACACAAGTAATAATGAGTAAATAACTCAAAGGGAAGACAGAAATACTATCCGTATTACTAGTAACGCTGTCTATGTTGAATGTTGTACTAAACGAAGGGAATGTTGTACTATTGCCAACGAAGGATTCCTGACAAGTCCCACCACTGAATGGCCGGCCCCAGGTGGATGTTACAAATACTCAGCGGTCCGAATCACTTCTTCATTGCGATTCAGTACATGAATTCATCATACTGATTACAGCACAAACTGTATGTCACGACCACGCCTTCAAAATTGGGATTTGACAAAACGCAATCGTAATTGAATCGCTTAGTATGTGACTTTTTTGTTTTACTCACGCACTTGTAGATACGTGTTGTAATTATTTTAGGATCGAGGTCTCGTTGTGCAGACTCGTTAGGTTATGTAAGCTTCTGCTTTGAGTTGATAGAAAGTAAAACATGAGACGGACTCTGCTTCTGAACTTGACGCCGGTGATTAATCATCATTTGTACTTTCGTTTTATTTATCTTGTTCCAAAGATATGTGTTATAACTTTACACGTTTAAGGGCTGTGTCAATCAACATTAATAATAATTTTAAACTTTAATCTATGTAGTTTTCATGCTCTTGACGTCGTGTAAAGCTACGGTAATAACTTAATATATAATTCTTCTGTGAGTGTGTATGTCACTGAACTTCTCTCAAACGACTGGACCGATTTTGATGAAATTTTTTGTGTGTGTTCAAGGGGATCTGGGAATGGTTTAGATTCACAAATCAGCCCGGCAGATGGCACTGCAGTCGGTACTTTCATACTTTGCTTAATATCCTAATCGCTTTAAATATCATGCAGGACAACGTCTGTGGGGTCCACTAGTAACTTAATATAATTAATAAACTGCCAATTGCGATATTTGTTTAGTACCTAATTTGTCACAATCTGGTAAACCCAAGTACTGGTAAAAGCATCAACTAAAATGCTTTTTCGTCTTGTGAATTTGGAAGAAAACTTAATTGAGGTTGTTTTAGGAAATAATATATTTTTTTATTTCAGTTGGGTGTTTGGTGATTTCCTATGCAAGATGTACCAATTTGTACATTCCTTGAGCTATACGGCATCAATTTTTATCTTAGTTGTAATTTGTACAGAAAGATATTTTGCAATAATTCACCCTATTACTTGCAAACAAATATTAACATCGAGGAGGCTAAGAGTAAGTTCAATTTGTTGTATCAGTAATAAATGAAAAACATTATAACTTTGCGAATTTATAAAGAAATTTCATTTGTAACTCGAAACCTGCGTAACTTTGATGTAGAGGTCAAACTGCTTTTAACACGTAGATTTTTGTAATTAAGCAATATATTTGATTAACTTCAAAGTTCAACAAAATGGAACAACCTCAAAAGAAATTTCGATTAAAAACTTCCATTATAAAAATTCATATTAAATAAATCCTTGGTACAGTATAATAACATTTACTTTGTTGTTAAATCAAAGTAAAAGTTTTCGATGAACCTAAGGAGGAACTGTAGGATTCGAGCTGTAAGTACCGGTGGAATTTTCTGAGAATTAAGCTGGATTAAGAGAACATTAATTGTGACCTACTTGTTACTATGTTATCCGATTATATACTGTGTAATCTCTACATTGTCACGTATTTTAACAAATGATGTTGACATTTTCAGTTCCACTGTCTTTTCGATTACTAGGTTTAAATTTCTGTCATATTTCTATTTATTGTATTCTGATTTCTGTCATTACTAGATGATCCGGTGAACTTCGTATCACCTACATATACGTATATTTGTGTCAAAACTTTTAATACTGACAAAATGTTTAATACTGACCTAAGAGATCGGACCTCATACTACAGCTATGAATCACGCGTCTATAAATATATGACAACCAACAATTCCCAAACAATTCTTTATTTCTAAAAAGGGAAAGTTATCAAGTATTTGATATTTCTAGTAACAGCTTTTATTGCAAAATTCAATTGTCGGTTTTAGTATGTTTCTTTACTTATTATTTATGTTTCCCACCGTTCCTGAAATTCCAAATAATTTCAAGTTTTAAATTAGCAATATCGTTGTTCAGTTTTAGCGAGAGAAACGTACAGCCATTAATTTTTATATATATTGATTGTTTTGCGTTTGCAATCTCTCGCTTATACTTAAGTTAGCTTAGGTATTAATTAGATTATATAAAGTTACATCTAAATTCTATAGCTTAGCAATTTAACGCTAAGCTAATAAATAGGCTCTTTATACCTGATGCTGAGTAGAAATTTTAATTTTTATGCGTTTCATCTATTAAGCGCGACAACTGGCTTTTATAAAGCAATTTCTCTTTATTTAATGGTAGGAATGGCGCAGTACTGATCCCCCTCTTGCCCTTTTAATTGATAAGAAACGTGAAATTAATAATAATGAGGCAGACGTTTTTTTTACATATTGACGCGTAGGTTTGCTTCACTTCCATGGCATGGATGGTTTAATAAAGCTGATGGATGATTGGTTCACGGCATATATTATGTGGTACCAACAAAGCAAATTTCTAATGTTTTTTAATATGTTTATACCATATTTTCAAAATAGCTTTAATGATATAGGAAATAATCAGAGTACCGTTAAGGAGCCGGGTTTGTTTCTTACGATAATTTCTCACTTAAATAATAAATATCTATTTAATGAAGGTACTTTTAGAAAAGTGCACGCTTACGCTTAGGGGTGGATGACACTAATAAAACAAATCCTTATTTTCTATGCTTACGTTTTTCCGCGAAAGTTTGTTATAAAAATCTGTGTAAAATCTTTGACCACACATTTATTTTCAGTTAGTGATCCTCGGAGTATGGATTACGAGTGCCGCGTACAGCGCACCAAAGTTTATATGGGTAGAGACGATAACGAATGACCTGGGTGACGGTCACTTAGAGACCATTTGTATCCAGCACAGAATGAAGTACAACTCAGAGATATTCGACATGGTCAACTTTGGTCTACTCTACGTCACTCCACTCTGCGTTATGACGGTAAGTCCTTTAAAAACTCGATTGTATAAACTTATATAGCCCGATGTGAAGCACACACCACCACCACTCTCTCGACCATACAAATCGACGAAATGTGAATTGAAAATTGGCTCACAGTCGATGTATGTAATAGGAGATTCCCACTAAAGAAACTTACGAAATGTATGACACCGCCTTAAAGTTCTTAGAATAATTTTGACCTATTAAAATGATTTTATCAAATATTGCCGTTGTCACCTTTCGAAGGATATCGCTATCGACCGGATTTGAAACCAAGACTTCCTTATCCACCAGAAATGAACTATAACACTAATATGCTACTAGTACTATCTTTAAATATACAATATGCATTGAGTTAATAGCGACTAACTTATAAGGAAATTAAACTTAGCTGGAATGCACCACAATTATCGATTTTTATGCTAAGTAACGAAAACGTGCTAAAGCGTGACATCGAAGTCTGTAAACTTTATTAAACTGCTCTTGAACTCTGTAAAATTGTAATATCGCAACGAAGCCAATAATAGGCACCTTGTTTACGACATGAGAAATTTATTCATAGTAATTAACCAGTACTTAAATAGATATAAAAGGCTTACAATCCAGCTGGCTGCAGCTGGCAAAAATCGAATGGCATTTTATCATCTTCTTTGTTCTTATAGTGCCATCTACTTGCGAAGGTTCGCGATCATCATGGTTTAATTTTGGATGCCGCGCATCTAAACAATAACTTAGTGCTTTGATCAAACCATTATCTTAAGTTTTTCAAGCAAGACGTGCGTCTTCTGCCAGGTCTCCTTCTACCTGCCACTTTGACTTGTATGATTAGAGTAGCTCGTATTTTTTGGTGTTACGTAAAACGTCTCCGAAATACTCAAGTTTCCTTTTCTTAACCGTCATAAGCACTTCTTTGTCCTTCTGCATTCTGTCCAGCACGGTTGTATTTCGTATGCGGTCTGTCCAAGATATTTTAAGCAGCCGTCGATAAACCCAGATCTCAAACGCTTCCAGTTTTTTGGACATTCTCTGTCAGAGTCCAAGATTCTACCGTAGAGCAGCACATAGAGGACGTAACATGTGCAATGAGAGTTCTGATAAAATATCATCTTCTTTGTTCTTATAGTGCCATCTACTTGCGAAGGTTCGCGATCATCATGGTTTAATTTTGGATGCCGCACATCTAAACAATAACTTAGTGCTTTGATCAAACCATTATCTTAAGTTTTTCAAGCAAGACATGCGTCTGCGGCCAGGTCTCCTTCTACCTGCCACTTTGACTTGTATGATTAGTTAAAGTAGCTCGTATTTTTTGGTGTTACGTAAAACGTCTCCGAAATACTCAAGTTTCCTTTTCTTAACCGTCATAAGCACTTCTTTGTCCTTCTGCATTCTGTCCAGCATGGTTGTATTTCGTATGCGGTCTGTCCAAGATATTTTAAGCAGCCGTCGATAAACCCAGATCTCAAACGCTTCCAGTTTTTTGGACATTCTCTGTCAGAGTCCAAGATTCTACCGTAGAGCAGCACATAGAGGACGTAACATGTGCAATGAGAGTTCTGAGCTGTAAATTTAGTACTCTTTTTAGTTTTGAAAAGGCGTTCCGCGCTTGTTCAATTCTACAACGGATTTCGATGCTATCGTCACCCTTTTCATCAATCACTGATTTTAGCATAATTATGTCTAATTTATTACTTACCTGTATACGTCTTACTTCTATTATTTTTCACATACATCATACTTGGGCGTAGTAGGTATTATGTGGTTGGCAAGATAAAACGATTATAACTCAAACTCAAAATAACTTTATTCATATAGGTAACCAAGTACACTTATGAACGTCAACAGAAAAGATGTTAAATTGATTCTAAATTTACATTTACTACCAGTTCGCAAGTCAAGCGCGTAGAACGGGCAAGAAACCACACTTTTTAATTGTCAAGTTTTGAGTCATACAAATTGTTTGAACTGGAGCAAATCACGGATACGGATCATTTAAAAAATCGAAAATTTATAAAAAGCTTTTTTTGATTAACTTACGTTTAACGAGAGTTTTGAATTTATTCAGTGATAATTATCTAATTTCGCTTGGGAGTTTGTTGTAAAAACCAATATAATTTCCATATAAGGACTGGTTTATCTTCTGGAGTCTGGTTTCGAGTATTTTAATGGTGAAAGTCACCATTTGTTTTAAAATCGTTTATATCTCCTAACATATTTGAATATAACTTTTACCGTTTACGAAGTTCAAGCAATATTTTTTTTTAGTTTCAGCTACATTGTGTGTTAACATGTTCTAAAGCGATTAATAGATTATCCAAAACAAAACAAAAACAACTGTTTAGCTTTGCAATATTACTATTTTATGAATAACATTTGCCGATATAAAAAATATTTTAACTTGTCACAATAACTAAAGTCATTTACAAGTTGTTAAGAACGTTGAATTGTAAAAAGCTAAGTTAAAGCATAAGTTACAAGTTTGTATCAATAGCAAGAGCTTTCAAAGTTTTGTTCAAACAGTAATAATTCTGTATGATACAAATATTATCGAATGCTGCAATTTATTTCAACTTATTAGTGTAAAGTTAACCTATAATATATACAGATTAAGTTTAGAATATTATTTTTGTTAGAAATTTCGTTAATCAGTCATGGCCTTACGAGTGCGACTCCTAACAGTAGGGTACAAATCGTTCGTTTTCGGCTGGATTTTTCTTTCTTTGTGCGCTAACCCTTACTTGTCAAGTAATAAGCGTAAGGAAACCGCATGCCAATTCTTAAACCCAAAAATCAATGTTTCTGTCAGGCACAGAAAGCGTATCTACTTGTCTTGTGTAAAAAAGGGAACGCGTCATTAATACAAAGCTCCAATTTCCATTAATAGCTAATTTTTATTTATATTTTAGTATAATTATATAGTTCCAACACACAAATCGTCATGATCATAGAACAATGTCGGATTTGAAAAAAATCCAAAATCCACTTTTTATCATATTTTCAATGACAAAATATTACGGCTACAGTAAAAAAAACATGTGTTTTAAATTTCAAATTAATCAGTCGGTAAAGTGACGGATTTGATAGACGCTCATAATTATACTCGTAGAAGCATGTGATTTTTCTAGAAAACTGTGTAATTTTATTTTATTATTTTTATTTTTTTTCAAAACAAACCCTTTTGTTTGCTTGTTTGCCAATTTTCATAATAACAGAATATGAATTAATAAAGTTATGACAAAAAAAACTAACATAATTATATTATTTTGAAATGGCTGCCCTGTAAAGTTTACTATTTGTCAGATCCGTCACTATTCTACGACTATGAAGAAATATATATATATATATTTACAATATTCTTAATCTGCATAGTAATAATAATAATAATTAAAAATGGATAAATACAAAATAAAAACAAATGTAAAAAGATCTTTTATTCTTATTACATGCATAGTTTATAATACAGTAGTATGGTGGAAGCACAAATTATACATAGTTTGTCCACGGATGTATTTATTGTATTTAATCATATGAATTGAGTAATTTTAAAATAATAGTGTTTTACTCTCCCCAAATGCAAACAAACATTTCAAGCTTTTTTGAGGCGACCCACATCCATTTTCTTCGTTTACAGTTTTTACATTCTAGCTTTTGATCACGTCACGTTACGCTAATGGCACGCTTCTAAATGGCAGAAAGAAATAGCAGCATCGTCGTATATATTTATTTAACAAATTAAAACTAATGATATTTACAATGTGGTGTGTTGAAAATATTAATTACCCTTAGCCGCACATAGGTTGGTGAACATGAAGTAGTTTAAATCAATTACTAATTAGATATCGAATATAATATAATTTAAGAACACACACAGCGCATGGTAAAGGTCATTATTGGAGCGTGTATATTGTAGTTACTTTAGTCTAGTGGTAATATATCAACTGCAGACAAAATAATGTCTCAAATAATAATTTCCGGTTGGGGCGAAAATGCTGCATTACGATTTTCAAGAATTTTTGAACATACGTCGGAACATATGTCGGACATCCTTCCCGTCCTAGTATTAGCGTTATCGATTAGAGAGTCCACTTGTCGTGTGTATATTTGAGCACATATTTGGGTACTATAATTTATCTTCGGTTAGAAGCAGTCTCCTTGATAGCCGCCGTTTGGGTCGCACAAAAAATATTATAATTTTATGTATCAGAATAAAAACTAGATACTCATACAGTCTAAGTGTGTATAGAGGTGCACAGCAAAGGTCCTACATCAGGCTTTCTTTATATATTATATCGTATAGACATCTTATTAGAGAACGCCTCTTAATGGTTATTAGTGAACAAGTATTTTCTAAGGACTTGGCCTAGCCTTGATTTCTAAAGCCTTAGTAGGCTTAGGCGGGAGCGAAGGACTGTCATCGATTTCTTGTCGTTTTTCATCTGTGCTGCGATGTGTCAACGAAATAATACTTTATCCTTGTAAATAATGATAAATAATGTCACCTAATAGCTTTTAATGTAGATTAAGTTTTTAACTAATAGCTAACCATGTGAAATAACAATAACAAAAAGAAATAACTAATGATATACATGAGTTTTCTTTGTACACCATATTTTTCGAGTAACATTAAGATTTAGGTCATTGATGTTCGTAATTTGAAGTTTAATCTACTTGACCACTAATGATTGGCTATATCATGTGATGTGTAACACGATCGGACAATATGTTTAGGTGTTTATGTTGTTAACCCCTGATTACTCATTCTGGCCTGCCCATTTCCTGATTAATTCTATGACCGGGCCTCAAAAGTATACGGGTTTGACTTAGGAATAAATACATCAGTGTTGTGTTGCAATAGAAGAATGGCAAATTTAATACTAGCTGACTCGTCAAACGTTGTTTTGCTATATTGTTGAAGATTATTACAGTACAGTATTTTAAAATGGGACTTAATAAAAGGGTTCCCTCCATTACATATGAAAAACGAAGAACAGGACAATAAT